CCCCCCCCCCCCCCCCTCCCCACTCACTCACATGAATGCATGTGTCGATCGCCTGGTATGGGGGCTGCTGGCTGGCTGGCTGTAGAGATGGGAGGGGTGGGGGCTGGGCGAGGGAGGTTTCTTGTGAATGAGAGAGATACATAGCTGACTGACTGACTGACGTGGGGGCGGGGCGGCGTGTGTGCGTCTCTTATCAGTAACGGCACACGCGCATCCCGCGGAGTAGTTGTGTTGTGTTCTGGCTGTGTGTGGTGTGTGTCCGCCGATTGGCTTGGCGAGGGGGGGAGGGAGGGACCAATGGGTGGTGTGTGTTTTGGTTCTTTTGGTCACGTTTCACGTTTCCTCGTGCCATCCCTGATGAGATCGTGCAGTGATGAGATGGCCTTTGTGTGTCTCACTCGTGGCTTACACGCCTGACTGTATGCTGCATGCGTCGAGAGGAACACGTGTATGAGTGTGTGAAAATGTGTGTGTGTGTGTGTGTGGTGATGGCAAGTACGCGCCATGCAATTAATCTTGTCACTTGCGTATGGTCCCAACACACACACAGAGGTCGCGCATGGGTCACACACGCATTCTCTCTCTTGGACGAGTGGAGAAATGACTGATGACCAGCTGGCTGGGGGAACGCGTGCAGTGTTCGTACCAGAGGGGCGCGGCCTATATGGGGGCGCGGCGCATTCTTACACACACTGTAATGTGCACATACCTCCACACATTCACCCGTACCGCAGAGGGTCAGCGCGCCATGGCAGCCATGCCGGCAAACAACACCTGGATGGCGCCGTGTTGCGAGATTACGCTCATCAATCATCGTTTGGCGTTCGGGGGGACGTAGGCGACCCATTCCACACCTACACACACACACACACACACACACAGATGAGTGTCTGCCTATGCAGCTCACTGTGTAGCGTCGTTACGTATTTTCTCTCTTGGCGGTTCCACACGACTCAGCACGATGAACGGGTTATCCTCCGACTTCCCCCTACACACAGCATCACAGGTTCCCAACACACACACACACACACACACACCCCGAGTGTCAAAGTGTGCGAGTTGTTCTGCTGCCTCCCCTTACTGCTGGCGAAACTCAGTCTCAATGAGGTCGTCGTCCCGAGCGTCCTCGTGTCCAACGAGCACCACTTCCTCCGGGGTGCTGACGCCCTGCATGAGGCCACCGTAGAAGATGAAGCGCTTCAAGTCGCGAACTCGTTTGAAGCTCTTGACTGCGGGCAGAGAATCCACGTGCCTCAGTCTCTAGGACGTGTGTATCTGTGTGGAATCTGAAGAAGCGAATATAGGATTCCGTCGCTCCAAACATCCTTCGCAGCCTATACTTCACATTGAAGCCATCTGGCACACCTGCACGCCACAAAAACCACAGACAGACAGACAGACAGTCGGCTGATTCTCTCCTGTCGTGTGTCACATCCCTCCATCCCATCCGTCTGTGTGTGTGTGTGCGTGTGTGTGTGACTGTCTGCCTGCGCACCGCTGCGGTGTTCGAGTGGGGTCGGCGGTAAGTAGCCTCGGCTCCCTCAGCTGCAGCAGTGTCTGTGCTGCAGATGTCTGTCTGTCTGTCTGTCTGTTTGTCGTCATGACAGACGGCCGCACCTCCTCACTCACTCACTCACTCACTCAACAAACAGACAGACAGACAGACAGACATCTGCAGCACAGCACACAGAGCAGAGCGGCCGTCTCACATCATGGCGATGCTCGAGGCGTGCCTCGCTCACTGACCTGACTGACTCGCCACGTGTGTGTGCGTCTGTGTCACCGACCTCAGCTGACAAGGCAGAGTGGACGCCAAAGGACGACAGATCTCAGCACGCAGCCGTCAGGAGGGCTGTGCACTGAACCCAAAGAGCCGGAGGGTTTGACGAGGGGTCAAAGGGTTTGTTACCCTCATTGCCAGCCGTCCTAAGTTGGTGTCGGTCGCTCTCCTCGAGGACGTACGGGTCGAATTTGACGGACGTCGCTAGCCGGGTGCTCAGCTGAGCCACTAAGTTACCGTCCCGCGCACTCACAGGTACGTACGAAAGGCCGTCCGCGGCGGACTCCGCCTCTCTATACTACTATACCCCCCCTCCCAGACAGACAGACAGACAGACAGACAGACAGACAGACAGACAGACAGACAGACAGACAGACAGACAGGCAAGCAGGCAGGCAGGCAGGCAGGCAGGTCGTCCCACCCATCAATACCCCTTCAACACCCCTCACTGCATTGTGTCTGAAGCATGCCTGCATCATATCGTGCTGTGCTCGGCGAAATGATGCATGCATTGGCCGTGACGTGAGTCACGTGACGTGTCATGTGAATGTATGTCTGTAGGTGGGTGGTGCGCATTCGGTAACTAATTGTCGTTCGTGGGCCATGGACGACGCGGTGGAGGAGGTCCAGCCTCAGCCGCAGCCGCAGGGAAGACAGCCGCAGGGACATGATGGGGCTGGAGGGGGAGGGCAGCAGCAGCAGCCGCCGCCGCCGCCGCCGCCGGGGTGTGTGTTGCAGAAGACCCACGGTCAGAAGACCCACGGTCAGTATATGGAGCTGCTCAAGGACATCCTTCCTGTGGAGCCGATGCTCGTCTTCTTCTGCCAACACAGAGGTAGGTACTAAGTTACGTCCGCACGCACACACGCACGTTCGTGCAGTGAGTGCCCTGCACGCCCGCATATATCGATACGCTGCCTGTCTGCATGTTCCATCTCTCTCTCTCTCTCTCTCTGTATGGTATATATGTGTCTGTCTGTAGATGCCGACTGGCAGTACATTTTCCGCGACGTGGTCAAGAAGGGCTGCCAGGGCTCCGCGCACCCCAAGCAGCGGCCCGTGGAGAAGGACTGCTCCCTCTGGCTGCTGCCGGGACAGTTCAGAGTGACCATTCCGCTGGACAACGATCGCATCAGCCGGCTCAACGCCCACCGGTGGGCCAAGATGGCCGTGGTCTGCGAGAAGATCCGGCTCATCGCGATCCGGTGGGACAAGTGGCTTCTCCTGAAGGCGCTCTCGAGCAACAAAAAAATCATCACCGTCACGCACAAACACGTGGTACATACGCACGCATACACACACGGTCAACTGATCGGGGTCAGTCAGTCAGCTGTGTGTACCTGTCTGTCTGTCTGTCTGTCTGTCTGTGGGCTGGCTGGCTGTCTGTCTGTCCGTGTGTGTGTGTCCGTGTGTGGAGCAGGAGAAGTTGTTTGAGAAGTACGAGAAGCAGCAGGTGGGCGCGATGCCCCTGGCGGTGCTTGAGTACGAGCTACTGGCGCTGGCGGGGCTCGGGGCGCCGCTGCACTCGATCACGTGGAGCTACCCCAATGGCGGCTGGGCGGAGCCTACCATCGATGCCATCAACTTCGCGACCGGCCGGCTGCACGTGCCCACCATTAGGCTGGCCAACCGCCACGACAACCAGCCCGACAGCGAGCAGATCGACCCACACCTGACCGTGTCCTACCTCAACCAGCCAATCCAGCTCCGCTTCTCCGACGCGGCGCTGATCAATCAGCTGCACCGCAAGGCACCCAACCCCATGAGACTCTCGGTGCGCATCGCGGCCGACGGCACGCCGGCCGACGTGCAGGCCGCCAAGGACATGCTGGCCAACTGGCAGGGGGGGCTGGGGGGGCAGCTCGCGGGGGTGCATCGGTGCGGCGTGCAGGAGCCCAACACGCCGCCCCAGCGGCCGCCGAGTGAGTACTTTGTGCTGTGCCTAGCGCCCTTCATTGCAGTGACCGTCACCGACACAACAGCCGACGACGGATTCGACGCTGAGGTGCGGACAGTGCTCACTCAGTGATCTGTCTGATGCTTGGCTGATTGGGTGGTTCCCTCCCTCCCTCCGTCCCTCCCTCCCTGGTCTGTTTGTCTGTGTTGGCTGTGCTGGGTCTATCATTTCATTGATTCAGGTTCGCATGGTGGGCGAGGCCGTGTCGCGGTGCCGGGTGGGCTCTCTTGCTGACCTCAACCGTGTGCTGGACGGCCAGCACTCGGACAAGTACGCCGGGTACATCCGCCGCATCCGGGAGGCGGCCGCCCTGCCCGGCCTCACCGTCACCGTCACGACCAACCACAAATACCTCAACATGAACCTCCACTAGGTACGTACGTACAGGCAGGGGCCGATAGATTAGACCATTACTGACGGTACATAATGCGGTCTGTGTGGTGTGCGTGTGTGTGTGGTCTGCCTGCCTGCAGTCGTGCACCTGACCGACCTGCTGGAGTGACTGAGTGAGTTCATCTGTCTGTCTGTCGGTCGGTCGGTCGGTCGGAGGGAGGGAGGGAGGGACCGAGGGGCTGCAGGCAGCGGAGAGGTTGCAAGCTTGGGGCGGGCAATGGATGGATGGTGCCTCTGGCTGGCATGCATATGTGTAGCTAGGGTGGGTGGTGGTTGCCCTGCCCCTTTTGCAAACAACACGCGTGACTGAGTGAGTGAGTGAGGAAGGTCGATCGATCGACCGCTGTGGATAGCCGAGCCGGCCACCTGGTTGGACGGACGGACACATCTATCTCTGTGCAAACCTCCATGTAATGTTCACGTGTGTGTGTGCGTGTGGCGTGATCTGTGCGTGTTGGTGGGTTGGAACACTCATACACAAATAAATACGGACGGATCCAGAAAATGACTTCCGTCAGTGCAGTTCTGCATCTCTTTCTCCAACCAGCGATTGATTCCTGGAACCCGGCCACACATATGGAATGACACCAGGGCTCCTGTGCACTGCACGGCGCAGCTGGGGTTAGGGTATGTGGGGTCAGGGGTTTTGGGTCACATCACAAAGGCGTTTGAGGCGCTCAGGCAGTGGCGTAGAGCGGAGAGGACGCACGTTGATTTGCATCTTCCGCCCGAAGAGAAAAACGACAAAACCACAGGGTTCGTGGGGTCTAGGGTTTCTTGGGAGGGGACATAGGAGGACGCTGCGGCGGGGCCTTGTCGGACAGCTGTGCGTTGCGAGAGTGAGGCACTCGGCCGACAAGAGGGCGAGAAGAGTCACTCGAGTCAGTCGTCCTCTCGACTGCTCCGGTTGGGTGGCGGCCTACTGGCGGGCCGTTGAGCTGACAGACCTCGGAGGTGAGGGACGCCCAACACTCACTGACTCACTGACTCACTGATGCGCTCATCCACTCCCCTCAATGAATGCGTTGGCCTTTCTGTCTGTCTGTCTGTCGGCCCATCGATGCAGTGTGGCTGAGGAGCGATGGCGGCCTCCTCAGCTGCCGCTGATGGTGGTGGTGGCGGTGGTGTTAGCTCATTGACCTCTCTCTGATCTGTCCGTCTGATCATCGAACGAGGTGAGCAGCACACAGATCTGTGAGCAGAAGCACAGCATGCTTGATGCACACAATCCTCTGTCGGCTCTGTCGCTCTGTGCAGCCTCTCGTCGAGCGCCTCACTCATCTGACCGTCTTGGCCCATCCAGCCCATGCAGCACCAAGAGCAGCAGCAGCACCCCGTGTCATACCTATGTGTGGGCCGGAGGAGCCGCTACCTCCTCAGCATCAAGGACATCGTGCGGCTGAGGGCCACCTGCACGTGGCTGAGAGAGCTCTTCGGAGCGGCCCAGCTGAGAGATCGGCTCAGCCACTCGCTGGGCTTACAGGCGGGGCTGTGGCGGGCGGTGAATGGGCAGCAAGTGCAGCTGTTGCGGTTCGACGACGACCAGTTCGGCACACATGACCTGCTGGCGGCTGTGTGTGTGGTGGAGGAGGGGGCCTGGGGCGAGATGGGCGAGGTAGTTGAGCTGGCGGGGCAGTGCGGCAACTGTGAGCTGCCTGTGACCCTCAATAGTGCTGACATCAATACACACGCAAACAAAACGGTCACCCAGCAAACAGAGGGGCGGAAGGGGGGGGGGGAGAGAGAGGGCCTCATTCTGTCTGTGTGGTGTG